ACACAACAACAACAAACTAAACACAACAACAACAACAAACTAAACACAACAACAACAAACTAAACACAACAACAACAAACTAAACACAACAACAACAAACTAAACACAACAACAACAAACTAAACACAACAACAACAACAAACTAAACACAACAACAACAAACTAAACACAACAACAACAACAAACTAAACACAACAACAACAACAAACTAAACACAACAACAACAAACTAAACACAACAACAACAACAAACTAAACACAACAACAACAAACTAAACACAACAACAACAACAAACTAAACACAACAACAACAACAAACTAAACACAACAACAACAACAACAAACTAAACACAACAACAACAAACTAAACACAACAACAACAACAAACTAAACACAACAACAACAACAACAAACTAAACACAACAACAACAAACTAAACACAACAACAACAACAAACTAAACACAACAACAACAACAAACTAAACACAACAACAACAAACTAAACACAACAACAACAAACTAAACACAACAACAACAACAAACTAAACACAACAACAACAAACTAAACACAACAACAACAACAAACTAAACACAACAACAACAAACTAAACACAACAACAACAAACTAAACACAACAACAAACTAAACACAACAACAACAACAAACTAAACACAACAACAAACTAAACACAACAACAAACTAAACACAACAACAACAAACTAAACACAACAACAACAAACTAAACACAGCAACAAACTAATCACAACAACAAACTAAACACAACAACAACAACAAACTAAACACAACAACAACAAACTAAACACAACAACAAACTAAACACAACAACAACAACAAACTAATCACAACAACAACAACAAACTAAACACAACAACAACAACAAACTAAACACAACAACAAACTAAACACAACAACAACAACAAACTAAACACAACAACAACAAACTAAACACAACAACAACAAACTAATCACAACAAACTAAACACAACAACAACAAACTAATCACAACAAACTAAACACAACAACAACAAACTAATCACAACAACAACAAACTAAACACAACAACAACAAACTAAACACAACAACAACAACAACAAACTAAACACAACAACAACAAACTAAACACAACAACAACAAACTAATCACAACAAACTAAACACAACAACAACAAACTAATCACAACAACAACAAACTAAACACAACAACAACAACAAACTAAACACAACAACAACAAACTAAACACAACAACAAACTAAACACAACAACAACAAACTAAACACAACAACAAACTAAACACAACAAACTAAACACAGCAACAAACTAAACACAACAACAAACTAAACACAACAACAACAACAAACTAAACACAACAACAAACTAAACACAACAAACTAAACACAGCAACAAACTAAACACAACAACAAACTAAACACAACAACAACAACAACAAACTAAACACAACAACAAACTAAACACAACAAACTAAACACAGCAACAAACTAAACACAACAACAAACTAAACACAACAACAAACTAAACACAACAACAAACTAAACACAACAACAAACTAAACACAACAACAAACTAAACACAGCAACAAACTAAACACAACAACAAACTAAACACAGCAACAAACTAAACACAACAACAAACTAAACACAACAACAAACTAAAAACAACAACAAACTAATCACAACAACAAACTAATCACAACAACAAACTAAACACAACAACAACAAACTAAACACAACAACAACAAACTAATCACAACAACAAACTAAACACAACAAACTAAACACAACAACAAACTAAACACAACAACAACAAACTAATCACAACAACAACAAACTAATCACAACAACAAACTAAACACAACCTCATCATCACAACAACAACAAAATCACAACAACAACAACAAAAAATAAGTTCTAAGGCAACAAGTTTTCAAATCCAGAATAATTCGTTGTAAGCTCCGAACCCTTCAGAGAACCCAGGGTTCGATTCCCGGCTCAAGGCCACCGGTGACGATTTTCCAAACCGGTACTGAGCCTCCCCCTAAGGTCGACTCAGCCTCAAATGAGTCACCTGGTGCTGTGTGTGGAGTAAACATCGCCGCTGGGGAGACAAAGGCGGCCGGGCGTGGTGGTGCTGGCCAGCCACTCGTGGCACCCTTCACAGGTGCTGCTCGCTAACAGCACTTGCCCCAGCAGTCTGTTAGAGGCTACACGGGGGACCTTTGTCTGTGTCTACCTTCACAGGTGCTGCTGCAACTCGCTACTCACAGCACTTGCCCCTACAGTCTGTTAGAGGCTACACGGGGGACCTTTGTCTGTGTCTACCTTCACAGGTGCTGCTCGCTAACAGCACTTGCCCCAGCAGTCTGTTAGAGGCTACACGGGGGACCTTTGTCTGTGTCTACCTTCACAGGTGCTGCTGCTACTCGCTACTCACAGCACTTGCCCCTACAGCCTGTTAGAGGCTACACGGGGGACCTTTGTCTGTGTCTACCTTCACAGGTGCTGATGCTACTTGCTACTCACAGCACTTGCCCCTACAGCCTGTTAGAGGCTACACGGGGGACCTTTGTCTGTGTCTACCTTCACAGGTGCTGCTGCTACTCGCTACTCACAGCACTTGCCCCTACAGTCTGTTAGAGGCTACACGGGGGACCTTTGTCTGTGTCTACCTTCACAGGTGCCGCTCGCTAACAGCACTTGCCCAAGCAGTCTGTTAGAGGCTACACGGGGGACCTTTGTCTGTGTCTACCTTCACAGGTGCTACTCGCTACTGACAGCACTTGCCCCTACAGCCTGTTAGAGGCTACACGGGGGACCTCTGTCTCTATGCGAGTGAGTGAGCGGGTGGCGAGTATCCGAACCCGTCCTGGGCCTCCCCTAGGTCGACTCAGCACTCAATGCGGTGTGGTGGTGGTGGTGGTGGTGCTGTGTGTGTAGTTAAACATCGCCACCGGGGAGACAAAGGCGGCCGGGCGGGCGGGCGTGCTCCTGGCCACACCCCAAATCCCTCACCCCCCGACCCTCCTCGTGGGCCTTCCCAAGGCGGCCGCTGCTACTCGTCCACTCACTCACAGCCACTTGCCCCAACATTCCGTTGAAGGCCACACGGGAGACCTTTGTCTTTGTGTGCACGCGCGCGCGCACGCGCGCGCCTTTGTGAGCGCGTCAAAGACCTCCGTCCCACCTGCTGGAAGCTTTCACCCCCCCCACCACCACCACCATAATTAAATAAATAAAAGAGCGGTGGGGGGTGGTGGTGGCGACGATGGTGGTCCTGGTTGGGTGGTTGGTGGTGATGGTGGTGGCACCATAGACTCAACACTGCACCATAGACTCAACACTGCACCATAGACTCAACACTGCACCATAGACTCAACACTGCACAATAGACTCAACACTGCCCATAGACTCAGCACTGCACCATAGACTCAAAACTGCACCATAGACTCAACACTGCACCATAGACTCAACACTGCACCACAGACTCAACACTGCACCATAGACTCAGCACTGCACCACAGACTCAATACTGCACCACAGACTCAACACTGCACCATATACTCACCACTGCACCATAGACTCAACACTGCGCCATAGACTCACCACTGCACCACAGACTCAACACTGCACCATATACTCAACACTGCACCATAGACTCAACACTGCAGCATAGACTCAACACTGCCCATAGACTCAACACTGCACCACAGACTCAACACTGCACCATAGACTCAGCACTGCACCACAGACTCAACACTGCACCACAGACTCAACACTGCACCATAGACTCAACACTGCACCACAGACTCAACACTGCACCATAGACTCAGCACTGCACCACAGACTCAGCACTGCACCATAGACTCAACACTGCCCCATAGACTCAGCACTGCACCATAAACTCAACACTGCACCATAGACACCACACACACCCATTCCTACCGCTCCCCGCACACACGCACACGACGACAACCGTGATGCCACCACGGCGCTTGTGCCAGGCTATGTGCACCTTACACAACGTGCATACAGCGGTGGGGTAGGGGGCAGTCGGGGGGGGGGCCCAATTGACCCGTTGCGGGGGTTCAAAGTTCAGCAGGCACGCGGTCATGTGATGTGTGTGTTGTGTGTCGTGTTGTGTCGTGTTGTGTGTTGTGTTGTGTGTTGTGTTGTGCATTGTGTGTTGTTTGGTGTGTGTTGTGTGTCGTGTTGTGTGTTGTGTTGTGTGTCGTGTTGTGTGTCGTGTGTTGTGTTGTGCATTGTGTGTTGTGTGTTGTGTTGTGTGTTGTGTGGTGTGTGTTGTGTGTCGTGTTGTGTGTTGTGCGGTGTGTCGTGTTATGTGTGTCGTATTGTGTTGTGTGGTGTGTTGTGTTGTGTGTCGTGTTGTGTGGTGTGTGTTGTGTGTCGTGTTGTGTGTGTCGTGTTGCGTTGTGCATTGTGTGTTGTGTGCCATGTTGTGTGTCGTGTTGTGTTGTATGTCGTGTGTTGTGTGTCATGTTGTGTGTTGTGTGTTGTGTTGTGTGTCGTGTTGTGTGGTGTGTGTTGTGTGTTGTGTGTCGTGTTGTGTGGTGTGTGTCGTGTTGTGTGTCGTGTTGTGCGTCGTGTTGTGTGTTGTGCGTCGTGTTGTGTGTTGTGTTGTGTGTTGTGTGTCGTGTTGTGCGTCGTGTTGTGTGTTGTGCGTCGTGTTGTGTGTTGTGTGTTGTGTTGTGTGTTGTGTGTCGTGTTGTGCGTCGTGTTGTGTGTTGTGTTGTGTGTTGTGTGTCGTGTTGTGCGTCGTGTTGTGTGTTGTGCGTTGTCTCGCTGCGATGGTTCCGTGCTCCCCCACCTGGCGTGCTGACTAAGCGCTTGGCAACTCTTCCCATCCCTGCAGTCTAAGCAAAGGTCACGATGAAGCTCGCAGCCGCCGTTGGTTGTTGTTGTTGTTTGTTGTTGTTGTTTGTTTGTTGTTGTTGTTGTTTGTTTGTACCTCCCGTGACGAAAAGTGCTGGAACACGTCCAGGAGTTCCACGCCCTGCGTCACCATGGTGACCGTCTCGAAGGCCGAGCTGATGAGGTTCTGCATCATCACCTCCAGCTCCTTGACGGCCGCCCGGAAGCTGAGCGCGCACGCCAAGGGGGTCGACACACGGTCACACACACACGGTCACACACTCACTCACTCACACTCACTCACTCACACACACTCACACACACTCACACACTCACACACACACACGGTCACACACACACTCACTCACACACACTCACACACACACTCACTCACACACACTCACACACTCACTCACACACACTCACACCCTCACACTCACACACACACTCACACACTCACACTCACACACACACTCACTCACACACACTCACACACACACACTCACACACACTCACTCACACACACTCATTCACACTCACTCACACACACACACTCACTCACACACACTCACACACACACTCACTCACACACACTCACTCACACACACACACTCACTCACACACACTCATTCACACTCACACACACACACTCACTCACACACACTCATTCACACTCACTCACACACACTCACACACACACTCACTCACACACACTCACTCACTCACACACACTCACTCACACACACTCACACACTCACACACACACACTCACACACACACTCATTCACACTCACTCACACACACTCACACACTCACTCACACACACACGGTCACACAACAACAACAACAACCGCCATTCGCCACTAAGTGGCGGTGAAGTCACCACGAAGCTTGTGCCAGGCTAGGTGCACCTTGAGGCCGCCACGTGAAGTGTCGAACGGGGCAGACCCAGCAGGTGCCACGGGTCGACTGACTGAGATGACTGGCTGATGCACCACCTGTGCCCCCCATGCTGTGCCAACCTGCTGTGCTTTAGCCACCCGGCGCTCCGCTCGTTGTTGTGAGCGTCGCTCCTCCGCCCTCCGTTGTTGTTGGAGGGCGACTGCCTCCAACTGCCCAGTAGCGTCCTTCACGAGCCTCCTCCACAGAGGCCGATCTTGACACCGCTGGTACCATTCATTGGCAAGTCCACTCAGCTCCACGTCCTACTGTACCACATCACTCCATCTCTTCTCTAGCCCGTGCCGCGCCCGTTTAGCCCCCTCGATCCGGCCTAACAAAAGCTGTTTAGGCATGCGGTGGCTGGGCATGCGGGCTACATGGCACAGCCAACGCAGCCTTGCCTGCCGGAAAAAGTTAACCGATGAAACTTTGTCCAGATCTTTCAAGGATTGTGAGCTCATCACACAATCCAGCCTGGTTAAACCCAGGATGGATCGCAGGCAGGCCAGCCTAAATGTTTCTAACTGGGGAAGATGTTCCATTAGGGGGGTCCACGTTTCGCAAGCGTAGAGAAGGGAGGGAATGACCGTGGCCGAGAAGACCTGAAGCTTAGTGCGGAGCGACAGACCAGGTAGCTTCCACACAGCGTTACGCAACCGATGAAAAGATATTGCCGCTCGACTGATTCGGATTGAGACCTCTGCTGTTAAACCGGAGCCGGTCATGAGCACACTGCCCAGGTATGGGAAACTCTCCACTCTCTCCACATCTGCCCTATCACCAATTGGGAGTTGTGGGGGTGGAGTGTCCGATGGTACAAAATACCCAGGCAGGTGCTTAGTTTTGGTGGGGCTGATGTAAGGCACCACCTCTGAGCGGTAAGCTCCAGGTTCAGCAGCAGCGTCTCCAACTCCTCCTCTGAGTGAGCAGCAATTACCAGGTCATCGGCATACATAACATGGTTGAGCCAGAGGGATACATCCCTTGAGGGAGACATCCCCTTGACCACACCCGGCATAGATCAGTCTCCCATTTTATCTGTACCAGATGGAAATTCCTCCGGTACAGCTATCAAAGGCTTCACGAACTACGTGGTTGAAATAGATGTTAAATAATGTGGGAGCCAGAGGACATCCCTGTCGCACCCCAAGGTGAACAGGGAATGGCTCCGACTCCTGGCCACGTAGTTTTACTCGGGCCCACTCACCATCATGAAGGTCCTTAATTGATCGTGAGCAGAGGGTCAGGGACTCCCAAAGCACGAAGAACATCCCAGCGCCCAGGCCTAGTGATGGTATCATAGGCCTTGACCAGGTCAATAAAGCAGAGATGTAGGTCTTGTTGGAATTCCCTACACCTCTGCTGCAGCAGACGGACAGAAAATATGGCATCTGTGCAGCACTGCCCTTTCCTGAAACCGCATTGGGGCTCCGCAAGCCTCTCCTCAGCGTGCCTGGCAAGGCGATGTTGAAAAATCCTTGCCAGGACCTTTCCCGACACACATGCATACACACACACGCATACATACACATACACACACACGGATACACACAGACGAACACACACACACAAACACACAACAACAACCGCCATTCGCCACTAAGTGGCGGTGACGTCACCACGACGCTTGTGCCAGGCTATGTGCACCTTGGCTCACACAGACGAACTCGGGTCGCCAGGTTCCGCAGCGCCGCGCTCTAACCGCGGCGCTGCCCAACAAAAACAAAAGGCAAAGATCCCACCCCGTGTAGCCTTAACAGACTGTTGGGGCGAGTGCTGTCAGCGAGCAGCACCCGTGAAGGCCGGACACGGCAACACGTGGTGCGGGTGGGCGTGGCCAACGCCACGCCTGACCCCTACGCTACCTTACGCGCGCGCCCGCGCGCACACACGCGCACGGGCAGGCACGGTCACGCGCACACACGCACGGGCAGGCACGGTCATGCACACACACGCACACGCACGCACGGTCAGACACACGCACGCGCACGCCCGGTCTCACACACACGCACGCACGGTCATGCACACACACGCACACGCACGCACGGTCATGCACACACACGCACGGTCATGCACACGCACGCACGCACGGTCACGCACGCACACACACGCATACACGCGCACGCACGCACGCGCGCGCATTACTACTAAGGCAAGGCATGCAGGGAATGGTGTTTAGAATGCGTGGGGAGGGGGAGGACTCGCCTCGCCTTGACGGGCAACGGGGTACAATGGACCCAGCAATCAACAATGGCTGCTAATGGAGGGCGGGCGGGGGGGGGGGGTTGTTGTGGGTGAGGTATTTGGTGGTTGGTTGGTTGGTGGTAGTGGTGGTAGTGGTGGTGAGGTTGAAGGGAGCGGTGGTGCAGCGGTCAGCGATACTCTGCGCTTCGGGGATCGAACCCGGCGACCCGGGTTCGATCCCCGCTCTCACGGCCGACGCTGGCGACGATTATCTGAACCGGTCCCGGGGCCTCCCCCTGGGTCGACTCAGCCTCGAATGAGTCACGCGGTGCTGCGCGCAGTAAAACGTCGCCACTGGGAGAGACAAAGGCGGACCGGGCGTGGTGTTGGCCACCCACCTCCTGGTGTATCGTGCCGGCCTTCATAGGTGTTACTCGCTAAACGCACTTGCCCCAACAGTCTGTTAAGGATATACGGGGGACCTTTGTCTTTGCCTTTGGTGGTCACGATGGTGATAGTGGTGGTCATGATCGTGGTGGTGGTGGTGGTGATGATGGTGGTGTTGGTGTTGACAATGGTGGTAACGATGGTGGTGGTGGTGATGATGATGGTGGTGTTGGTGTTGATGATGGTGGTAACGATGGTGGTGGTGGCAGCAGTGGTGATGGAGGTGGTGGTGGTGGTGATGATGATGGTGGTGTTGGTGTTGACAATGGTGGTAACGATGGTGGTGGTGGCAGCAGTGGTGATGGAGGTGGTGGTGGTGCTGGTGGTGATGGTGGTGGTGATGAAGGTGACAAGAGTTGGCCATGATTGTGGCGGTAATGGTGGTGTTGGTGCTGACAGTGATGGTAACGATGATGATGGTGGTGATGGCAGCAGTGGTCGTAGTGATGGTGGTGCTGGTGATGATGGCTATACGGGGCATCTTTGCCTTGATGAATACCTCCCTCCCCCCAAGGGCTGGAGTTAAGTGTTAACTGCTCGTTCTGACGTTGTGCAGGAATTCCAAGCATCCGCCGCTTTGTTATTGCAAAGCGAAAAAAAATTCACACGAAACTGATTTCATTAAGCCGAACGAAGTGACTCACGTATCCCCTTGCACTGCTGCTATTATCAGTATCATGATCATCATCATGATGACCGATTATCGTTATTATTATTATTAACCGCGCTCGCTCCTTCGCCCGGGGGAGAAATATTGCTCGAGATTTTCGCAGGGGGTATCCTGCCCAGAGTGGTCGTGCCAGCAGGAAAATTGGGCAGTGTGATTTGGTCATTTCTTCTCACACAGCTTAAAGGTCGTGATCTGAGCGTGGCTTTTCTCACTCCAGCGCTGTCCTCCAGACAGTCTCGTCCCTTCACCTGATGAAGGCCGCTTGTGTTGTGGCCGAAACGTCGTGATTTTTTGTTATTTTATTTTCACCTACGTGACTTTACCCAATAGAACCAAAGAGAATGGGGGGGAGGGGGGGGTTTCAGTGTTTTTTTTAACCGATCACATTGCACGGTAAGGGGGGGGGGGGAGGAGGTTATTTTTTTGTTGATGAGCGAGAGGAGATTAACCAAAGAGGAACCGCCGTGCGGAACAGGGAGAGAGAAAACACAAACTCTACTCACTCACACACTCACTCTGTAGTACAGCGAGAGAGGAAACACAAACTCCACTCACTCACACACTCACTCTGTAGTACAGGGAGAGAGAAAACACAAACTCCACTCACTCACACACTCACTCTGTAGTACAGGGAGAGAAAAAACACAAACTCCACTCACTCACACACTCACTCTGTAGTACAGCAAGAGAGATCACACAAACTCCACTCACACACTCACTCTGTAGTACAGGGAGAGAGAAAACACAAACTCTACTCACTCACAGACTCACTCTGTAGTACAGCGAGAGAGAAAACACAAACTCCACTCACACACTGACTCTGTAGTACAGGGAGAGAGAACACACAAACTCCACTCACTCACTCTGTAGTACAGGGAGAGAGATCACACAAACTCCACTCACACTCACTCTGTAGCACAGGGAGAGAGTTCACACAAACTCCACTCACTCACTCTGTAGCACAGGGAGAGAGAACACACAAAC